TTTAGGGTTTTGGGTTTTGGGTTTAGCGAAGTAAAAGGTGCTTATATGCAAGGGAACTTGGTAACCTCACTTTGAACAGCCCCTCCCTCCTTCCCTCAGCCCGTAAAAACAACCGATAGAATCCGAGAGAAATTGCAGGCAAGGTTAACATACACCTGTCATTTCAAAGATGTCACACCCAACAGCTAGACCGAGGTAATGCTGAGCTTCCTGTGCTTTCGCTTTGCAGAGGCGTGAATGGACTGGTTGTAGAGTTTACTACTATTCGCTTAAGAACCCCCAAAAGTTTTTTAAATAGCCTCCATCTTGCCCTAGTAAGGAAGAACATTGTGTTTTTGGGTGGTTCCCAAGCAAACAGTATCAAATAGTAGTTTGGCCGGTTTTCCGGGTTTGGAGTTTGGTGCAGAGGAGGGTTTCGGAGTGGGGGAGAGCCTGGAACAGTCACTAGCTTAGGGTTTAGGATTGTAGTGTTTAGTGTTTAGTGTGTAGTGTTTAGTGTTTAGTGTTTAGTGTTTAGTGTTTAAGGTCCTTCACCGGGCTCTAGCAGCCCTGGACACCCCAAAAGCCCTAAGCCCTGACACCCGAAACCCTTAAGGCCTTAAGCTCGCGATTGAGTCCGTCAACCTCGAAGCCTTCAAAAACGATGCCCCCGAACCCCGAACACAAGCAATCCCTGAACCGCCCCCAAGCCCAGAATCCCCCTAAACCCTAAGCCCTAAACCCTGGACCCCCTGCAAAAAACAATAACCCAGGGCTCCAAACTAACGGCCCTACACCCATGCGACTCCACCAGCCTGGCTGACCCTAAACCCTAGACTCTAAACCCTAAACCCTAAACCCTAAACCCTAAACCCTAAACCCTAAACCCTACACCGTTGAGCAAGGAAACAAACGAAAAAGGCCTTCACGACGGGTTTCCATGCTTGCCGGTGTGGTTGCAGGGGGAGCTTAACTTCTGGATTTAACCTTCGAGGGCTGATCTAGTGTTAGGGTTTAGGGTTTAGGGTTTCGGGTTCAGGGTTCAGGGTTCAGGGTTCAGGGTTTGGAGGGGTTAAGGCTAGAGGGTTTAGGTTGCGGTTTCATGGTATGAGCTCTGGAGTGGATCTTAGACCCTAATTACTATACGTACACAGCTTCTCTCGAACCCCCCTTAAAACCTAGGGATTCATCCATCGTTCCAACCCAAATCTTCTGCTGCGCTTCCCAACCAAAGCTTTAAACGACCCCAAATGCTAGACTTAGGGATACTTGGGAGTTTTTGGATTTTTGGGCACTATACTTCCTAAGAAACAGCCAAATTACATTTTTTGAGGGTTAAAGCTCAGTTCAGTAGACCCTAAACCTCTAAGCTCTCTGCCAGCATCAACTTGGGCTTGGTCTTGTGAGACGAAAGCCCTGGGGTTTATACAACTAGGGGTGTTTTGTTAAAAGGGTTCAGGCCTTAAGGGTCCCTAAATTAGACCCTAGACCCTAGACCCTAAACCCTAAACCCTAAACCCTAAACCCTAAAGCCTCAGCCCTAAGCCCCAAACAGGCAATATGAGGCGTTGCAGTTGGCATAGGCAGGCAGCATAGGCACGCAGCAACGTCTGCTGTCGTGTCAAACAGGATACTTGTGCTAAAACATTTTCTGGCCCATTTGTGATCATGGCGCTGACTGATGCGGAGAGTCGGCAGTTGCGCAAGCTGCTTCTCGCCCTTTCGCGGCGTGAGATTCGCCAAGATGGCTTGGCCGATCCTTCTGCTCGCTTGGCCAGTGATGATGAGAGTTCGATTACCTTGAGCGTGCCAAGACTCTTAGGGTTTAGGGTTTAGGGTTTAGGGTTTGGGGTTTGGGGTTTGGGGTTTGGGGTTTGGGGTTTAGGTTTATTGTGGTGCAGTTCATCCAGACCGTCTCCAGACGGCAGCACGCGAGCAGGCCCGCAAGGCTGGTGTCCGCTGGGCCGAGGACTATGTGGCCAAACGCCGCCACTGAGCACTTGCTTCCTGGCCATTGTGGCTTTTGCAGACGATCGTCGCAGACGCGAGGTTTTCAAGGATTTTCTACGGGTTTACGCAGGGTTTTCCCCTAAACCCTAAACCCTAGACCCTAAGCCCTAAACCCTAAACCCTCAACCCTTGACCTTTCTACCCCGAAAGAATCCTGGAGTCAGGCCTGGCTGTCCTCGCATCATCAGCTCCACGTAGCTGCTCTTGTGCTTCTAGGCTTACTGTTTAGGGTTTAGGGGTTGGGGGTTTAGGGTTTAGGGTTTAAGGTTCAGGGTTTAGGGTATAGGGTTTAGAATGAGGTACCCTATTATAATCCCTTAAAGGGTACTATAGAGGGCCCCAACTCCCTCATTCCCTACTAATTAATTGTGCTTTTAGGAAGCCCAGCGTTGGCCATTTTAGGGTTTAGGGGAGCCTACATGCTTTTGTTTTTCGTGGGGGGGGGGGGGGGGAAAATAGAAGGAACCGAGGAACCCGAAACCCTATACAACCGTCCCTTCCCACACACACA